CAGCCTTAAAAGCACTTTACAGCACCCCATTTGGAAATTACTGCTTTACAGCATCAGAACACCACACTGGAGCTTTTAGCATGCAATTTCCTTTCTTTACGTTAGATGCAGTTCCTTCTTGAGGAATGGGGGGGAAGGAGGAAAGTGGGCTTAAAGCTCTTCTTTTTATTCTCTCTCTTTCTTCACTACTTGAATAGGAAAACATTACAAAAGTTTTCCATTTCCACCCAAGGTGTAGTTCTAGCAAGACTATTTCTGGCATTACTACATGAGCATGTGGCAGGAATGGTGTTCAAAGGGACACCATCAACCTAAACATACCGCTTCTGTCTAAAAATGTCCTGGCTGCTGTCAAGACAATCAGGACTTAAGATCACCATAACTACAATTGAAGATTTTTTTTTCTATTTTTCTTTTTTGTTTCGAGCACAGGCAGTCTTCGGACTTACAACACAATTGGTTCCTGAAAACCATGTCTTAAGTCAAAACATTGTAACTTGGAACCAATTTTCTCGTAAGAAACAATGTTATAAGTGGGGGATTGGATCCTGAACCAAGGCCCGATATTTTTTTTTCACCAAAAATACCTCGGAATTTTGTACTCAATCAATTATAGATGAGTAATATAGCTACATTAAGAGGCAGACAAGGTTCCTTGGGTGAATAAAAGATATCAGATTCACCCAAGGAACCTTGTCTGCCTATGTCCTTAAACCAACACGGCTACAACCTACACCCCTGCATAGCTACATTAAGGTATTTATATTGTAGATAACAATCATATTGATTTGGAAGGACTTCTTTGAGGTGACTTTGCTGGACTTTTTGAAGGGTTCTTGGCTGGAGTCTTCTCAGGAGCCTTGGCTGCAGGTTTTTCTGGACTCTTGTCTGCTTTCTTAAAGAAAGTATCCAAGGAAGTTTGGTCAGATGTTCTCCAGAGAAATGAGCAACGCAGCAAATTGGTTTGCTGGCGTGGCATCACATCGGATCAAGTGTTGTAAAGTTGAAACTGACTTCATAAAGTTGAAACAGGGTGTCAATTTATAAACGTAAGCGCGAAACGTTGTAACTTGAAACGTTGTAAATTGAGGACTGCCTGTACTTGACAGTGCTTTGCTTCCAGTCAGTCATTTACATTCTTCCCTTCTATGGTCAATTTCCCCTTTTGTCTCTGTCCCCAGCACAGGAGAGAACAACATATGTAAAACAGAAAATGTGATAACAAAACTGCAGAAGTAGGAAAACATAGGTCCTGAAAATCCCTGCGGCTCCTTTGTTAAAAACGACTAGATTTCAAGTCAAGTCAACTCTGACCCTTTCAAGGAGCAAAACTGGGACTCTGAGATGTGGTTCCAGTCCAGGCTCTGTAACAGGCCAGCCACATAAATGTGGACAAGTCATTTTTCAGAGGGTCCAAATCTCAACAGTTCAAACTTCCATTAAGCGAAGGCAGTTAAACACACACACACACACACAACCCCCTCCAACCCCTCCTCCCCCGCCCAAAAAACCAACCTGTTTTCCTACTGGCAAAATGGAGACTCACTTACTTGCTAAGGGATATAATCACACCACGTTATGGTTTATAAAATACTGAAACATCCATGTTTGAGATACACTTAAGCAATGCAAGATATTACCATCATAATTATCATCCCTATATGCAGATCTATAGGCAAGGCTCCATAAAACAAAGATCTCAGGCTGCACAAGTTGAACCCTTCTGTCAAAAATCAAAGCCACCTTGCTGGCCTAAACCTAAGACCAACACACCTCAATGGATTACTTTGCTTTGTCATGTCATGGACAAAGACACCTGTGGCAGTAAACTTCCCAAGCAGATCACACTTAACATACCGGGTGTCTGTACCACAAAAACCTCTACCCACACTAACCATTAATCTTGCCAGGGTCCCACACTCTTCTGTCAGAGACAAATGCATACTAGATATCACATGCATTATTAAAAAAACACAAATAAACTTAAACAAGCTACACTGTGCTATTTAAAGGCCCAAGAAGCACAAATTCAAGTCAGTTTCTGCACATCAGACCTTGATTTCACTGAAAACAGACTCAAAGTCAGTCTAAAGAAAGAAAATGACAGATTAATAAGTATCCTGTGTAGGACATTTTGATCTGATGCTTTTTAACAGCAGCTCTCGTCTTCAGCCCAAAAAACAGAGCACTTTTTCTCTCTTATCCACGGACCACTAATCCCAGAACAGGCAGAGCCGAGTCATCCTGGAAAGCGGAAAATATTTTCTAGCAATTCTTGCCATGTTGGAGAACAGTAAAAAAAATATGGTAGATCCAGGATGCAAGAGAGCAGCACATATGCCCATGTTATTTCTAACAGCACGTTAAAGCAGGGAATGTTTACAATGAACTTCAGTCCAACACATTTAGGAGCAGGGATGGTGTTGTTAAACAGTGCAGATTTACAACAGCGCCTGCCGTTCAATGGAGAGTTTCTCTCTTGCAGGCAGGATAGGTAGCACTCCCTTTAATATTTAAGAAGCCAGGCTGTGTACTGCCCTCAGCAAAGCAAAAGCTCCTATGGGGCTGTCATTTGATTTTGCCTTAAAGTAAGTTTACAAAGGATGTACCTTTTAGAGCAGAGCAGTTCTGTACACATGCTGGTGTCATACAGATGTGCAGTGCTTATTTGTGTGAGTGGGTGTGCCTTAGACTGCGTGTCTTCAAATGGCAGTGAATGTCTATGCCAACTGCAGAGGTTAAAACCACACTTCCTATCTGGCCGAGCAATTTTAATCAACATGCAGTAGCCTGTTCAGAGACTCATTTTTCAAAGGCATTGGGCAATCACAGCTCCCACTGACTTTCAACTGGTGCTGCAGGTGCTTAACACGTCTGAAAAATCAGACCCTTGCATTTGGGCATCTTAAATTTCTGCTGTAAACATAAATGAAAGGTGTCAGTTTCCTAGTCATGCGGCGTATCTGTCAGCCCTGTTTAGTTTAATGGAAGTGACACATGCTCTTTGGGGACCACAAGAATGGAAAAATTCCAAGCCATCCAAGTTAACATTTAACTGGCAAGGATCTTTAAAGGCAAAGCCAGGCAAGTGACTAAATACTGCACCCCAGTTTTCAACCCTGCACACCCAAACATCAACTTTAGGTACTGAGCACTCAGTACAGGATTCAGCTGCCATAAAATTGAGCTTGCAGCATAACATATTTTCCATCTGTACCCAAGTATGGGTTCAGAAGAACAACAACAACACTCATTCAGTGCATATTTCTAGCATGAAATTCTTGTTCTGAGCCATCCCTACTGCTGAGGTAGCATCCCTCCTTGCTCAGTACCACACCAATTTATTCTTGTGCTGTCTGGTACTTAAATCATGAAGGAGCTGGGAGAGGAGGGAGGTGAGAGTATTTTTCCCTTTGGGGCAGAAGATATACAAATACCTTTCTTCATCTTCCAATTTGCTAATTTCCATTCTGGCTTCTCTCTCTTTTTGCTGGCTAGGTCATTACTTCCAGCTAAGTGAACAGGACACTCTCTTCAAATCTAAGGCCAAAAAAACTTTGCTAATTGTTCAGCAGTGTCAAGTCTTGCTATAACTTGTTCATGCTCACTCCAAAGTATAGGGTCTAGGACACATAACAGGGCAGTTCCACTTCCATTTAATACAGCTAAGCAAGACAAAACCTGACAGGCGATTAAAAATTTACTCCCCCCCCAGACACATGCATCCCCTATTCTTAGGGATGTCTAAGACTGATGAAGGCAACAGGTAGAAGAACAGAGGGTCAAGCTCTTTCAGGTCATAGAGGTAAATTCCAGCTGTTTCATCACTATTGCTTTTCTGACTGAGTCATAGAAAATGCCCTCAGCCACTAGCAGAATGGCAAAACAAGAAAGGTAACTAGGACTTGGACCAAATCAAAGGTCTTGGGTCCCCAGAATGTTGGCCCTTAGAAGCTGTTTTATTTCATGTAGCCTATTTGATACTATACACCTACCCCAATAAGGAAATACTGCCCACAGAAAAGCCAATATTAGACTGCTTATAGCTAAAATACAGTTGACACAAACACCTACTTAAGACAGAAGTGGTCAAAATAAGTATAAAACTATTATTCTGTTTGCATTTATACAGTACCTTTCATCAGCCTCTACAACTCGCTACATAAGTGCATGCATAACACACATGCGTGCACACTTCTTTTCTGTAAAGATTTCTAAACTTTTGAGTCTTGTTCTCAGAGGCACAGAGGATCCTCTCCTCCACCACTGCTTTCTCTCATTCACTGCCTGAATTGCCACTGCCACTCTCAAGGCACTTGTTTCACAACCACTGTCCTTTTGTCTGAAAAAGACTAGATGCAATTCCCTTCCCAGCCTGTCACAGCGGGTCCTTAAATCATTCAGCAAGGTCAGTCTTGGGCAATGCCAGATATCCTCTGCCCACTCTTCACCTCCATGACAGGATTTTATTTTACATATCACAAAGTACATTGAGCCCAATGGTCTTCCTCAAAACTAGCAGAGACATTAAGGCTTTGCATTTTATTAGGCCACCTTTTTCAAAAAGAATCTTACACACTGCAAGTTTTTCTGCTCCACCACAAAGAAAGGAAATATTCAGATTCTCAAAAATACTAGGACAAGTTCTTAAGAAAAGAAGAATGGGAAAATTCCTCAGTCCCAGGCATAAGAGTGGAAGCCCTGTGGTTGGCATCACTCAGCTATGCTGAGAAAGCTGGGAAGAAATCCTTCCACCACCACAGACTACAGAAATAAACTGGGAAGCAAGAGTGGGGAGAGTGGGAATTTTCTTGAAGAAAAGGCACAGTAAGAAAGCAGGCAAAGCAAGATGTTAAGCCCCAAGCCCCATTGAAAGCAGAACAGCAGACAGAGCTGCAGCATTGTACAAAACCACAAGGAGGAAACAAAAACCCGAGGAGATAGGGGTCCAAATATATGCAACAGAAACAACAAAAGCATGCACAGAGCCACAACCGTACCTGAATTCCAGCAGCTCCAGAGGTCATTCAGTTTCCTCTCTGCTGTACTGGAGAGACACAAAAAAAACGAAACAAAAAAAACCGTAAAAGTTCAAAACTTCAGACAACAGCTTCCCGGCACAGGTTTAAGAAGTTCCTCTTGCTCTCCTTATAACTTTTCCGGACAATCCATTGAAGGCTCCTAGGGCAACAAAGCAGTTAAACCCATTATTTGAGGCTGATTCAGGAGCCAGCAGCAGAAGCAAAATCTGTAAGAGTTTGTTGTCAGTGATCAAGCCCTACTCATTGCCAGCAAAAATAGCCGGGTGGAGCAACAGGAGCTCGCTCTGCTCACGCACTCTCTCCCACTCTGAGCAGCACAGCCTTGACTGTCTGTATGCAGAGGATGTGGGGGCGGACTTTAAAGAGGGCCAACTCTGTGGGCCTCTCTCTGCCAATCAAAGGCCTGCGACTCCTGGCAACCGCAGCACACAACCTAAGCTCAGTAAGTGGGGACTGCCACAGAAGGACTAATTCAATATAAACCATGCAGACGAAAGGCTTGCAAACAAGGACCTCCTTTTCTTTCCTGCCCTTACTCCCACCTACTGGGCAAGACAGCACTGTACCTTTCTGAGAGAAGGAGCACAGGGAAATTTTAAAAGCTTGTTTAGTAAAAAGTGTTGAGCCTATAATTTCTTACGTCTGGGCTGTTTGATATTACCTGCTTTTCGTGCTGCTCATTGGAGGGGTCCTCAACTTCTCTGCAAATGGAGCAGAGAAGTCACACTGGAGAGCAAGAACTGCTTATTTCTCCTCCCGACTCAAAATGCACAATAAAACAGCCCAAGAAAGCAGGTCCAGGATGCAGAACCAACACGTTCCTGACCTAAAACCAGGCTCCAATGTATATGTTTAAAAAGGGCAAGAGACCACCAACTTTCTGGACTCCTGCAATATCAAAGACAGCAAAATCTAAGCACCTTGCAACTGTACAACTGAGTTACACACTGCAATTTCTTAAGCATTTAAGCAGAAAGGACGAGATGAGTGATCAGAGCCTAGCCATTCATGCCAGAGGCTCTGGAAGCAACCCAGCAGTGGGAAAAATATGGTTGTTAAGCAAAGAGATCTTCCCCACTGATTATACAGGAAAAAATTATTCCTGCCCCCATACTCAAACAACTTCTGCCAATAAGAGGAACTGACTATACTGAATAAGTAGTGAGGTATCCAGGTTGTAGTTGTATTGGTCTAGAGGAAAAAGCAATCAGGGCACATAGTAGAGATTATACCTTTTATTAGACCAAAAAGATTTTTTGCAAGATTTTTTGTTGGTCTAATAAAAGATCTCTCTACTACGCATCCTAATTGCCTTTTCCTCTAAACCAACATGGCTACAACCTGGATAGCCAACACATGGAAGATATCGAATTTTAGCCAATTTTTTAAAATTAAATCTTCATAGTTTCCCAAGCAGGAAGCAGCTGGGACCACCCGAAACCTGAGATCCTGCTCCTGCCTTTGTTTCAAGGTAATTTGCATCATTACAAATCCTCACAGGAGGTGAGAAGCTCCATACCAGCTATGAACCGACTACCCAGAGGAGTTTTTCATCTATATTGACTCCTCTGTGAAATCCTATGAAATATGAACTTTCATTTCTACCCAGGAGAACTTTTACAATCTTTTCTCCAATGCCTGATGAAGGGTGTTTGTGCCCAAAAGCTTGCAATTAAAGACATTTTTTTGCAAAAATCTTGTTTGTCTAATAAAAGATATCTCTACTATAAGTCTTGATAGCCTTTTTTAAGAGTAGTGAAGATTTTGAGAAGTTAGCACTATGTATGCTTTCTGCTAATTTTATAGCATTTCTCTGGGCACTTCTCACTGACTTTGAAGAAAGCTAACATGATGTCCTCTGGCCCTCTCAGAGTTCATTTTTAATGCATGTTATATACCTTTTCCCTCCCCTTTGCCTGCCTTGTTTCTTTAATTTATCAATTCTTCAGAGCCTGGAGTGCTTCTCCTCCTCTGTTCAGTCCCTAGCATGCTAAAAATATGATCTCAATTGATCTCTAGGAATTTCTGTTACACAAATCACTAATAAATTGCTCATAAATATGTTTATACATTCTTGCTTATCTATAAAACAAAGTAGTTATTTCTGTCACATCTTCCTTTTCTACCAAGGAATCTTACAAAGGCATGTAAGTAAGAGAGGGAAATACATCTTATTACAATGAATTCAATGCAAAATGTGTCTAGCTATAGCTGCAGCCAAATTTTAAAGGGTCAAAGATAAGACAGGGTCTATCCATCTCCCTATTCCCCACTACTTGTGCATCATTCACTGCAGCCATATCCTCTTTTCTAGAGAACTTGCCTCCCTCTTTCTGCCACCACTCCTCAGAAGCTTTTTTAATGTCCCCAACCAGCCAGCCACCTATTCTCAAGTTATTTCACTTTAATACAACATATTACAGACTCTACATGTGCTGCCAAAGGCTGAAATATAAAGTACTCAGATGTTTTTCAGAGGTAGATATGATTTGCCCAGAATGGGCAGGACCCTTAGAAGACAGCCTGCCTTCAGAGTCTCTCCTGCTCTCATTAAGGAAGTTTAATTAAGTTCAGTTACCCCATTAAATAATTACCTGTTTTAGTTCCCAATCAGAACTTTCGCTGCAGTACTGCACAGGCATGCAGTAGGCAAAGGACAGTTCTGTACAGTGACTGTTTTGAGACATTCTAGTCAATGGGGATCCCTCATGTGTCCTGTGAGTGTATGATCTGGCTTTTTGGAAAAGCCACATCCACTGGGATTATGTCCATGCCTTATGCCCTCACATAGGAGCACAAGGAGGCACAGGACACAGAACAGGTATGAACCTCCCCCATTTTTTTTCACAATTCAATGCCTGTGACAGCTTAGAACTTCTAAAAACCAAGGAGGGCAAAGCATGGCATGCACACTGATAACACTTTGAGAAACTACAGTTACTGCCGTGTGTGTGACCTTTCTTCTTTAAAGTGTTTTGTGTGGGTCCCACCATAGATTACTGGCAAGCAATGCCTCCTCAGGATGATGGGAATGAGGAGCTATAGGTGCATCCTCTCCCAAATCCAGCATCTCATCTAACCACTGTGTCAAATATGATGCTTTGGACTAAGTTACTGGTTGCTTTGTTGATATCCAATCATGGCACATCAGAATGTGTCTTTTAAACCCTAGGAGAGCAAGCATTGATTTTCAGTGGGAGAGGTTCGGTGACTGACTGGTAACCAAGAGATGAATTGTGGGATATGTCAATGCTATTTGCAACAAGCCATCCTGGTCTTAAACACCCAGTCATAAACCAGAAATTGATAGGGCCCCTAGTTTGAATGGATGATTAGGTTCTACCAGTGTAAAAAAGCAGAGACTAGAATGCATCTATTGTATATAATTTTTTATCTTTTGGTGTTAACACAATTCCAAGACAATGACATAATTGAGTGGCTTGGTTAAGCTAAAAACCTGAGATTACTTTTGGGGATGTATTTTGGATGTGCTCTTAGCACCACCTTGTCCTTAAAGAATATCATACAGTAAGTTTAAGCTGCCATTACTTGAATCTCACTCTCTCTTCCCACTGAAATATTAGCAATTAAGCAGATCAACTTCAGAGAGATATGGAACATGGAGAAACCCAAGAAAGGCCCATGAGTCTCAGAAGCCTTATACTGAGGTCCCGGGTACAAGCAGATCTTCCTGGAAATGTTGTTGTAGCCCTGTAACAAAAACTTTGATATTGCAGTGTGAGAGAAGATGAAGCATGACTGCACAGGTAGCTGACAAGCTGAAAGCAGTGCAAGGTGGACCTTAATAGAGCTGGATGAAAGACCCGACTGTCTGAGAAGCTGTAAGTAGCCAAGTAACTGGTATAAAAGCCTAATCTAGGCCCAGGCTATTTGGGTGAATCTGCTATCTTTTATTAGACCAACTTAAATAGTTGGAAAACAACTATTAAGCAAGCTTTCGGGTTCAAAAACCCTTCATCAGGCTAAGGAAGTTTCAGCGGTTGGTGTGTGCTCTTCCAGGAGCACACACACCAACTGCTTGCTTAATAATTCTTTTCCAACTATTTAAGTTGGTCTAATAAAAGATATCAGATTCACCCAAAGAACCTTGTCTGCCTATGTCCTTAGACCAACACGGCTACAACCTTACACCCCTGTAATCTAGGCCCAGGCATTTTTAGAAAACTATACTAAATAAGAACCTCTTCCATTCTGAAGAATACTTCTTCCTGGTAATATTTTCTTACTCTGTATCGGGATTTCCAAACCCAAAAAGGAACAGTCCCTGTCCATGGTGCTCAGCCATTCCACAGTGATGCTGACAGTTATAATGGCTCTGGATTTTTGATGAATATATGTCCACAACTTCCAGGGTGTCCCTCAAGAGCTTCCCCTCCAACAGGAGGTCTTCATTGTCATCCTGTACCTTCTTCCACATCCCAAAACCCAAGAGCCATGAGACACACCTCATGGCTATGACTGTGATCACTGACCTTGCAACTGTGTATTGGGAATGCATAGTTGCCTGTAGGGCTGCCCTGGCAAACATATGGCCTGCTTTAACAGTTGCCTTCAGCTCACATCTAAGGCAATTGGGAAAAAAAAGGAGTCCCCTCCTCCACTGCTAGGAAACAGAACTTGACACTTTTTCAAGCAGTATTTGCCACTCAGAGTTGCAATAAGTCCAACAAGTTCACTTTGAGCCTGAAAAGATATAACTTTGGGAGGGCAGGGGACCCTTCTCTTCGGATGTGCCTTTTGTTGACTTATATTTTTCTTGTGTCATTGCAATAACCGCAGGTTAGGGTGGAAGTGTCCCCAGTTTTTACAGAGCACTTGACAGGCCTCTCGTCACCCATCTCAAATTAGGACCAGTGATGGCCAAGGCTTGCAAATGAAATGACAGGCCTTGGAAACAGCTGACAGTACATCAAAGAATTAATAGAATTCCTCCTATAAAACTATTGTTTATATTCATAATACATGGATCTCCATGATCCACATT